TAAAATGTGATACTAATTTGAGTTGTGTGCAACCAGACACTAGTAAAACGTGATACTAATTTGAATGGTGTGCATGCAGACACTAATAAAATGTGATATTAATTTGAGTGGTGTGCAACCAGACACTAGTAAAATGTGATACTAATTTGAATGGTGTGCATGCAGACACTAGTAAAATGTGATACTAATTTGAGTTGTGTGCAACCAGACACTAGTAAAACGTGATACTAATTTGAATGGTGTGCATGCAGACACTAATAAAATGTGATATTAATTTGAGTGGTGTGCAACCAGACACTAATAAAATGTGATATTAATTTGAGTGGTGTGCATGCAGACACTAATAAAATGTGATACTAATATGAATTGTGTGCAACCAGACACTAGTAAAATGTGATACTAATTTGAGTTGTGTGCAACCAGACACTAGTAAAATGTGATACTAATATGAGTTGTGTGCAACCAGACACTAAGTAAAATGTGATACTAATATGAGTTGTGTGCAACCAGACACTAGTAAAATGTGATACTAATTTGAGTGTGTGCAAGTAAGTACTAAGGACAAAGACTTCTGACAAAAATGATCAACATACACATCTGCCAAGTTGCTAAACTGAGGCAGTTTTGCATGTGATGTAAGCATTAGCAGACAGAATTTTTATAGAAGGCTTTCATGCAAGAAGTTGAGGAGCCACAAAATTTAAAATATTTATAAAGAAACAGCACATAGTACTGGACTTCTTTAAGAAACCTTTTAGGAATGGAGAGAAATATGACTAAGCAAAAGTAGTACTTTTCAACCAGTTATGTATACTTTCTCATAATCTCATACGATCAGTAAGAACAGAGTAAAAGTACCTTTTGCTCAGCAACACGTATTCCTAGTTTGTAAGAATCTCTTGAAGTTCTTATTCTATAGGAAGAGAAAAAGAATTTCAAGTTAGCCACTTTATCAGTGAATCTATTATACAGAGCATATTCTAACACCTAGAATTCACAACTTTACAATGAAAGTAGCATATTCTTATATTTGCTGTTTTGGTGTCACTTTTTTATGTTTTCCTTCCTTTAATGTAGAAAGTTGGTGTGAGAAAAAAAGAAGAAAACTCACAAGACAAACAGCTTTTACTACAACTATATATAAATCACGTAGCCTTAACATTTCAACCAATGATTGGATGGCTTGCCAGACTAAAATTTTACATTAATGCTTCTACTGAAGTTATAATTTTTCTATACGTATTTTTGATAGGTACTTCTCTCCACTCACAAGATTATCTTTTCTCGTTTTGGGCTGCCCTCTGTATGCAAACTTCTTCAGAAACACATGCCACAAGCCTTCATCATCCCTCTGTTGGAATCCAAAGTTCATCATCATTCGTCATCTCTCCACTAATAGGAAAGCACTAATATCACGTGATGCGTGTGACTCAATTAACATGCCACTACCAAAATATCACTTCAAAGTTTGACAGAAAACGCATGCACTAGAAGATTGTTGGGAGGACAGGTGTGAAGTATGAGCAGAGGGAAGTACCTATCGGAAATACATTTTCATTTAGGAAAATTATAACTTTCAATAAGGTACTCTCCCTCTTCTCACAAGATTAGCTTGAATCCCACATTGAAATGGAGGAGGGACTGGTGATCTAAGAAGAGATACCGCACAACATTGGAGCCAGGTATCTCTTCACCAGGAATATCGACAGGCATTTCTGAAAAAGTTTGCATACAAAGAGCAGCACAAAACAAGAAAAGGTAATCTTGTGAGTGGAGTAAGAGTACCTTATTGCAAACTATCTATTTCTGATTAACAAAGAAATTAAGTAACAATTTTTTTATGTTGTACAGATTTCATATTGAAATAAACTTTTTATCAACCTCCAGTGTTAGATAAAATTACATAAAACAAATTAAATACTTAACCTAAAACTGCTAACAAATCCATACAGCTTGTACAGACATCTTAAGAACTCATTAAGAGGAAGAACAAAGAAATATCAGACAAACTTACGTAGAACTCAACACCATAAAAAACATAATGATAACACCAACATAGGTGATAATTTCTTCGTTAGCTAAAAACGACTGGTGAGAAGGTCCACATGAGATTTCTGCATCTTCTAAAAAGTTTCTCTGCTGATATTTACCTTCATCATTATCTAGTTGATCTAGAATATAAGCAGTAATTACCACAGTTAAAATAATCCTAAAATGACACTTTTTAAGTACACATATATAATAATATTTCTACTATTTATAACTCAATAAAAAATTCAGTAACAGTAGTCCCTAGTACCAATAAAAACAGAATATATTGACAAATAAAATAAAATGGCAAAATTATGGACAAAAGTAAAACAATGTGTACAGACAAAATTAGAACAACATATTTATAAAACAAAAAACTAGAGCACACTTATAGACAAAATTTGAATTACATACAGACAAAACTAGAACTACATATTTATAAACAAAACAAATATAATATATTCAATATGAAACTAGAATGATAATGTATTCTTTTACTTGCACAAAATAATTGGATTAAAAAACAAAAATTAAGAAACAATGAAAAAAGAGAATTCTTGAAAGATGGATGCTTAACTACTTGTGTTTGATTCTAAGTAGCTATCTGTAGTACTAACAACTGTTTGTGAATTGTTCACTTATATTCAAGAAAATATTACTTGACTAGTTGGAGTATCAGTCCGTAGCATGAGTGAAATATATATACTCCTTTGTAATCAAGCATGGGAAAATTGTGCTTCTATTTTTTTTTCTTAACCATAATAAACATTATAAGTGTAATAAAATACATAAAGATACCAATAATGAAAAGATAGACATACTATTTCAAGAATTCTATCAATATGAAATTAGATGGGGGGGGGGGATCCATCTAGTGACTCTGAATACCAGTTACTTTGTTAACCTGTTGATCCTGAATACCAGCTACTACGTTAACCTGCAGATTTTGAATACCAATTACCATGTTAACCTGCTGATCCCAAATACCAGCTACTGTGTTAACCTTTTGATCCTGAATACCAGCTACTGTGTTATCCTGCTGATTCTGAATACCGGCTGCTTTGTTATACCAGTTACTATGTTAACCTGTTGATTCCAAATACCAGCTACTGTATTAACCTGCAGATCCTGAATACCAGCTACTTCGTTAACCTGCAGATCCTAAATACCAGTTACTATGTTAACCTGCTGATTCCGAATACCAGTGACTGTGTTAACCTGCTGATCCTGAACACCAGCTAATATGTTAACCTTTTGATCCTGAAGACCAGCTACTGTGTTAACCTTATGATTCTAAATACCAGTTACAGTGTTAACTTGCTAATCCCGAATACCAGTTACTGTGTTAACCTACTGATTTTAAAGACCATTTACTCTGTGAACCTGCAGATTCTGAAGACCAGCTATTGTGTTTTGCTTTTCTACAGCTTGCTGCAGTAGTGAAACCAAAGAAAAGTTACTACATCTAACTAATATTAGTATAAATACCATACTAAAAAGTTAATACATCTGACCAATATGAGTGTAAATACCCTACTAAAAAGTTACTACATCTAACCATACTAAAATTAAATAAGGCCAATTACTGTAACCATTTGTGTAAGAGAACAAGAATAGAACAGATGCCATGCTATGTTATTAAAAACCTATAATCTACAACTTCAAAAAGAAATGAATACTTAAGAGATAAGAAAAACATCCAAAAAATCGACATGAGTAAAGAAAATTTTCCTTCAGTTATATATGTTTTCAAGTTATCAAGTTGTGTATGTTAATCTGATTAACATCTCAAAATTGAATTATTGGGCTGGTCTTTTGGTTCGTACCTGTATCATGAGGTTCACTGGACAATGCTGACCAAGTTAAATACATAACGTATGCAGAGATGACAGAAGACTGCAGCATTCCAGCCCTAGAGTCTCCTGTGTCTGAAACAGAAGGACATCAGAATGAAGAACAACAACAAAAAACTAGTCTGTAAAAATCATAGAGAAATAAATGTTGAATGTGACAAAAAATACAAGTGTAGTAATAATGTTAATTAAAACAATTTAATATTTAAACTTCAGCTCATTATTAATTGACAAGTTACAAATTATTATAAATTCAACAGACAATCAAAATATAATCTCATAATAGTTGCAATTACATTTGCAGGCTAATAACATGCTACAAATAAATTTTTAATTTAAAAAAGTCAATACTTATTTTCATAGTATATTTTATTTTTTAACTCATAATATACCTTAGACCATAACTAACATTATACTTTATTTCTTACCTTACAGTATACCTTACATCAGTGTTTCTTAAACTTTTTCAGTCACAGAACACTTTTGAGCTCTAAAACTATTGACAGAACCCTTAAGAAACATTTTTATGTTAAAAAGTTATCATCTTTGTACAATGGGTAACAATACACACAAATAAATGTACATAACTTTATTTTCTATTTCTTATATTTATACATTAATTATAACTACACAGTTTTTATTCACAAAAACACTTAAGACCTACTTCATTACATGCAAACAAAATCTTACATAAGTGTAAACTTTTTGTTCCTTTTTAATGAGAAGAGTGTTGTTGCTTCTTTTGCTTGCAAATTTGTTTATGTTAAGAGTGATGCTGGAAAGTTGGATTCTCATATCAGGTGCAGCTTTTGGGATTGATGCTTGTTGATAACAGGTTGAACAGGTTGATAACAATAAAAAATTACACTATAAGTTTGTGTTTGTTTGTCTACATCAGTGGTTCCCAACCTGGGGTCTGCGAAGGTAATACTAGAGGGTTCATGAGCTATTTTCTTTAATTAAATAATGCATGGAAGGACACAGAATGGGGTCCGTGGGGAAAAAAATAATAATAAAAGGGTTCCTTGGTGATGAAAAGGTTGGAAACCATTGGTCTACATGTAGATAAACACAATATACAGAAACACGTCCTAAAATACAGTAGTCCCTCTTAGATACGACCAACTTATCTGCCATGATAAAAAAAATCTCATCTGACAGGAAGTTGTTATTCAAGGATCAATAACCAGATAACGAATCAATGAGTTCAAGCTGTGCCAGTTGCTATTCCCAGGGGTTGAGCATAATGATTTATATAACGTATAGGTAGTCAAATAATGTAGCAAATTGGTATAATAATAGTTATGATGGATAACAGTTCAATCAAGATAACTTAAAATTGTTTTGTTTATGTTTTATGTAAAATAATTTATTAATTGATCACATTTATTTCATAAACATCCATGTATCACATTTATATTACATACGTATAAAATATTACAAACTGACACAAAATTTATTTCCTAAAAAAATTGTCCATCTATGCTTGTTTGCACAATTAACGAAATCACTTTGAATGTTCATGAGTCTGGCAGTTATTATATCAAGAAGTGTTTCGTTGTTAGTTTTCAGTGCACAATTTTAGTATCAATTTACAAAATAATGTGCAATAAATGTCCAGAATTCTACATCAGAGAAACTGGAAGAAAATTTAAACCAGATTCACCAAACATAATAAAAAAACTTCCATTTCTCATATTTACCACCATTGCAACTCAAAAAATTCACAGTATATCTATACAAAACACTATAATTTTAAACAAAGAATCAAACAATCGAAGCTCTGTATCTTAATTAAACAAAACACCATCACCCTAAACCAAAACTTTGTCCTATGATCCCAGCTCTGAAAAAGAGATCATTTCTGAATTTAAAAGAACCAGTAAAGAAATAAGAATAAAAAAGAAGTTCTATAATTTTCATGTTTCAATATTTTGTTGCCAAGTTACATATACTAAGCTGTGAAGCAATTTCTGGTCATGTGACCTCTTTGTTCAATACTGTATACACTGTATTCATGTGTCTCTGTAAATTACATTATTGATATGGAGAAAAGTCATTAGAGAGAGGTCGTTATTCGGCCTTCTGCCCAAAAATCATGGTTGTATGTTGCATCCATCAGGAAGTTGTTCGGGTGAGGTCAGATCAATGTAAAATTGTTTCGTGCACAGAAAAAGAAGTCATATTTAAAAGGAAATCATTATTGGGAGGGGTTGTATCCAACAGGGACTACTGTAGTCCAAATTTATAAGTGAAAACGTTTTAAAAACTATTATCAGAATATTTTTTATACTCTTTGCCAAATTTACACACTTATAAAAAACATCTACCAGAACATAAGTTTATGGAAACTAAACAATGTTAATTCATTAACAAACACAATAACTAAACTTGCACACTTTTTTCCACACATGGGAGGACTGAAATGATTCCACAGAGCAGACACAAGCCACTGTTGACACCAATAAAAATTTTGTTTGTCAGGCATCCTTCTAGACTAGTGAAGCTTCTGGCCAACAGAACTGCTCCAACCAACACACCACTGTAGACCACAACAGCACAGAGAATCATCACTATACAAAACAGTGTGAGGCATCAATCACAACTCGTAATTCAGTAAACAACATACCAATCTAAAACGACACTTGGTAAATAAGCATTACATAGATAATAACTAGAATAAAAAAACACTATATAGTGTTGTGTCAATCATAAGTCATAATACAATAAACAAACTACCAAGTACTTGGTACATAATTACTACATGGATAATAACAAGAATAAAAAATACTATACAGTGTTGTATAAATCATAATTCAGTAAACAAAGTACCAATCTAAAACAACACTTGGTAAATAAGCATTACATAGATAATAACTAGAATAAAAAAACACTATATAGTGTTGTGTCAATCATAAGTCATAATACAATAAACAAAGTACCAAGTACTTGGTATATAATTACTACATGGATAATAACAAGAATAAAAAAAATACTATACAGTGTTGTATAAATCACAAATCATAATGCAGTAAACAAAACACTAATCTAAAGTAACACTTGGTAAATGAGCATTACATGGATAATAATGAGAATAAAACATTTTTCAGTGTTTTATATTTTACTTAAAATTCATCATTCTACACAACAGGTTGTCACTACTTTAAGTATTTAATTTATTTCTTGTTTTCACGATTTCAGAAACACACCTCACTGAACACCAAGTTACCTTCACTTACTCGGATTTCATACATTTTTCCACGATTTCAAAAACACACCTCACTGAACACCAAGTTTACCTTCACTTACTCGGATTTCATACATTTTTCCACGATTTCAGAAACACACCTCACTGAACACCAAGTTTACCTTCACTTACTCGGATTTCATATATTTTTCCACGATTTCAGAAACACACCTCACTGAACGCCAAATTTACCTTCACTTACTCCTATTTCATTTTTTTTTCAACGATTTCAGAAACACACCTCACTGAACACCAAGTTTAGCTTCACTTACTCGGATTTCATACAGATACCTACCTTCTACTTCTTAGAAGAACCACAGGAAAAAAAAAAGATTTCACTAAACAACATTATTTTACCATTCTTGAAGGTTATAGAACTAGACCTTTTAATTCTGGCCTTGGTTAGCTATTAAATCACAACTTAAGTAACTGATACACTGAAATGTTTAAGGCTTATATCTGAAGATGACAGAGACTAGAAATTATTAAATAAACACACAAGTGATATGAACATGACTTACACCAAGGTATTAGTTAAACTACTATAACTGATCTAAACATACCAAAATGATGACATCTGTTGCAAGACTAGTATTTTATAGTTAGTCTAAGTAGAGAAGTGAAAGATAAAATCTGTTTAATATAAAAACTAGGAGACATTTAGCCAAAGATAAGCACAAAAGTTTTTCTAATGACATTCAACTTCAACACAAAAAATTTAATTATTCAATTCCAATACTCGGACCCATGTTTTCATTTTGATACAATGCATTTAAAGAGCTTTTGTATTTATTTTTTGTAACATACAGTATTTTTTACTAATGTTTCATCACTTTTTTTTAACTTCTTCAAAGTTAATAAAAATGACAATACAATGATCATGCAACACAAACAAGCCAAAAATTCCAATTATATTGAAATAAGTATGCTTCAGTAAAGATAATTCATTAATAAATAGGGAATTACAGAAAGTGTACAATGATTTGATTGTGTTGAATCATCAATGAATGCTAAAAATATTGAAAGCAAAAATTAACTCAGATTTGTTTTAAATACTGCTTGTATGTTTAAATATATTAATGTAATGGTGTTAAAGCCTAGAACATTTGAAAAATAAAATTACTTATAAAAAATACTTACATAAAAACCAACATTTAGATCCACCATTTTGTACTCTGTCCATCCTGGAACAACAAAAATGTATGTATTCAGTACTATGCTCTACACACCGATATTAAAACTGTAGACATGGATTTAGAAGATTTTGCATCTCAAGAAAGGTTTCTAGTGATTGTAATTTCATCACTGTGCTTGTAACTCAAGTCCTGTGTTTACACAAAGCTGACTGGCTATGACAAATAGCTTTCAGCATTACTCGGAGAGGTCAAAGCACAAATCATTCTATCTTATAAGTTAAAGCACTGTATATTAAAAAGTCAATGCACTGTTTAAAATTAATCCATTTTAAAACTAAAGTGGACATTATCAAAAGAGATATGTATAGATTGATGACCAGACAACAGCAGTTAACAGTCAACATAAAGAGATGCGTATAGATTGATGACCAGACAACAGCAGTTAACAGTCAACATAAAGAGATATGTACAGACTGATGACAAGAAAACATGAGCTAACAGTCAACATGAAGAGATATGTACAGATTGATGACCAGACAACAGCAGCTAACAGTCAACATAAAGAAATATGTACAGATTGATGACCAGACAACAGCAGCTAACAGTCAACATAAAGAAATATGTACAGATTGATGACCAGACAACAGCACCTAACAGTCAACATACAGAAATATGTACAGACTGATGACTAGAAAACATCAGCAAATAGTCAACATAAAGAGATATGTACAGACTGATGACCAGACAACAGCAGCTTACAGTCAACATAAAATTACATCAACTTAGATGAAACACTGTAAATACAACTGCTAACAAGGTAGACGCATCTTACCTAAAAAACTAAATTTCAACTGAGCATAACAGTAATACACAAATATCTATTGAAGTAAGCAGCACTTAATTTACAGCTAGTTCTATAAAAGCTATGTAAAAGATGGAACACTGATACTGATGAAGATGAGTTAAAGTAATAAGTACTAGTTACATAATATAAAGTTTTATCACTTACCAATTATCTGTCCATGCATGTGCAAAATCAGCAATCAACAACAACTGGATGAGGATGAAGAGAAATGCTCCAGCCATTCCTACATACATCCACACTGAAAGGAAAAGTGTGCAGTATTTGTACAGTTCTTAGTATCACCAATAACCATTAACCCTTTGTTGTTAACATGTCACACTGATAAGTATACATGAGAATTATAAAAAAATGTAGTAGCACAATAAATAAAGACACTAAATATAACCAGTTTTATTAGAACTCTCGGATAAAGAAATAATGTCTATTTTACAACAATTCTCAAGTGTAACTGACAAACATACATAAAATATAAATAATCGGAGATGGCAGAAATGTACATCTAGGGATTCATTGTCAAAATGATCCACAAAACTTTTTTGGGGGTTGTCTAGTAGCAGTAAGTTGAGTTTACAGCAAAAGTACTCATATACAAACATGAAGAGTTGGATAATGTGGTTTAAGTGAAAGTTAAAGAACAAAATTAATTCCAAAAACAAAACAAAAATTTTTTTTAACCTATCTGAAGACAAATAGTGTCAAGGAAAGAACGAGTCTTTGTTAAAATACTAGTGTTCATGGGAATTACTGTGCATGGAGAATGTGCTGCCCTACTTTTGGTGGAAAGCTATAGTCTAATGATCATAGACTGATGTATTACACATTAATATGCATAGCGATTGGAGCTTTGTTCAACTGTTGTAGTGTGCACAAAAATCTTCTCAACAATGGAGTGAAGTAATAGCTATGCAAAGAGGTGAACAAACATATTTATATGGTTAACTTGACAGAATCGTCTTTGCATTAACAATAAGAAAGCAAAAATATAAGCTTAAAAGAGTGAGTTAGGCTTAGCACTCATAATCTAAACTGTTCATATTATTATAAAAAGCATTTTTTCAAATTTTCTTGCAAACCTGTAATTCTTTAAATAATATGTAATCACTGAAATTGTCGCTGAAATTAATAAATACTGAGAGAATTAAGAAAATTAAGAAAAGCATACTTTAAACATATTACTTTTGCACATAAACATCCTAGAATGAATGGCTTTACTCCTTAGTATGACAGTTTTTTAAAAAAACACCACCACTAACCTCATTTCAGTGAAGACATGAAACTAAGAAAATGTTGGTTATTGCTCTGATTTCAAACTCTATAATGAGGACAGTTTTTAGAACATTCATGATTACTTAACTCTTTGTTCAGTGCTAGCAACATTAAAATATGTAATACACAATGTATACTTTAAAAGGGCCATTTTCTGCTTACCTGTACTGATCTTTTCTACGTGAGAAGGGGAGACCAGAAATGCTCCAGCACACGTCGCACACAGAACAGCAAACTTAATAAACCACATGCTGATAAAAGTACAAATACATACACAATGAAAATCAAGTTATGTAAAGTTTTCTCAAATATACAACTAGAGGGTTGAGTATGTTATATTAAAACTGATTTGAATAAGCAGATCATCAAGTCACATGGCAATCACAGCTGATATAAAGTGGTGGTGAAACAGTGCATCTTAGAACTACATTTCAACTTTTTCAGCATTTGTAGATAGTGTGATATCATAGAAACTAATTGCTTTTGGAAAAGATATATAAAAATCCTTATATAATACTCATACACTAATAAAGATGTTTCCAGATCAGGATATAAGATTTTTCAAAATGATGATATCCTTTGTGAATCAATTTGTGGCAACAGGATCATCCAGAAAGCAACCTGAAACAAGTCATACCTCAGACATGGTCAGTGGCAAAAGCTGTCTACTTGCAATAAGGTGCAACATAGACAAGAAGGATATCAGTCTGTAAAAACAACATAAGTCATTTATATACTAGTTGTTTCCATGATGTATCTGTTCATCATCAAATACCTCAAACAGCTAGAGACAGAAACAGGTACTTGTGATATTCCATATTAAGATATATTGATCAAATTATTAAATGCAGTGCCTGTGGATTTCTGTGTGATCATACTGTTGAAATGGGCACTGGGAAATGGTCATCCTCAAACACTAGATGGCATATAGCCTTAGAATAGAGGCTATTGCAATACAAACTATGCTGCAGGGCTATTGTCAAGATACACGGTCATCAGACAGAGCACAACTGAACATGGCAACATGCAT